TTCTTGCATTACGTCCTTCCTGTTCAACGTCACCCTTAGCAACTGCAACCTGGACTACCGCCTGACCTCCGATTCGTTTTCTTGAATGATATCCCGGTATCAACGAGGATTGTTCACGCAGTTGTCGAACAAGCGTTCCCACTTGTCAGTGTTATAAGAGTTGGGAGCTGGTTCTGGACCGTTATGAGGAAGCAGCCTGGAGCCCTCTCGTCGTTGATGCCATCTATCTCAAATAAAGGAATGACACCAACGACGCCTATGCACCATCACATACCGAACCACGCTCATGGTGGACATCTACACGCGCTTGCACTCGCACACCCTCAAGGACACGCACCCGGATCAGGTCAGGGGCCAACACATCACCATGGGCACGCAATGACACACCCCCATTCGTCGACATCCACTTCTGCGAATTCGTTGTCGCATAACACCACCGGCCCTGGACAGAGACCGAGTGGGAGCGGTGGTGGGGGTGGCGGCAGTAACGAGGGGGTGTTGGAACTTGAGCCATGGCCGATGCGGAGAGTGGTATATCATGCCGCGGAGTGGTTGGAGTGGCTTGGGTGTGAGGAGGCTGCTGCTGCTGCACTTGGGACCACGAGGGAGGCAGAGGCGGAAGGCGTTGGGGTTGGTATTTTTAAGTGAATTCGAAGGAACAGTTTTGTTTTCCATTTTTGTGCTCTCTGAATCATGGTGTGTGTATTTATATGTCTGTAGTTCGGCCGCCTGCGGTTTCAGATTTACGCTTGGTATTGATAAGGAATGGACGGGATCCATGTACCTCGTTACTTTGTGTCGGTAATTGTATCCAAATGGAGCAGGATAAACCAAGTGGATAGTCAATTAATCAGATTGACTTTAAAATTCAAGGCAGAAATCTCAAATGGTCGGTTGTTGTGGCAAGTAGGATCAATCAAAGAATGTTTATGTTTGTTTATTATTACCTTTGACGCCCAATGGAAATTATTACGGCACATTTCGTACACTTGGATAACGATCTTTTTCGCTTGGAACACTGTCATATGTATTTAAGTGGTTAGAGGACCATTCCTACGAGTCAGATAGTTCCAGTTATAAGATGAACCCGGGACACGTTTTCTAGGGAATAATGATTCGCATTGCGATAACCTTATAGAAAAACAGGTGAGAGGAAAGAGACTAAAGCTTGAGAACAACTTCGGGTGTAGGAAGTTTACACGGGTAATTGGTTAGTGTTGGCGTTAAGGCGGAAAATCCACATGTGGCCGATCTACAAAGTAGGTCATCCCGCCACCTTTCCAACGGACTTTTCTGTAAAGCAGCCGCTTGGTTGTGTGGTGTGCGAGCGCGATCGCATCCGACAATCGCTTAGGTTTCTTGCCTTGAATAGACCAAATTCATGGCGGAGATTACATGTCACGGTAGAAGCTAAAGGATGTAATTAGAGCGAGTATGATTAAATATACCATTTCTCCCCTTTTCCCACGCCAGCCATGCCCCTACACCTTTCCAGCATTGAAATTTATTACAGGCAAATTGAAGTTCAGAAAAACAGTAGATACAAATTCTGGCATCCATCTGAACGCATAGGAGCTTATTTTCACCAATAGGGCGGGCGTACGTCCATGCACAAGGGACGTTACCAGCCGCATCCCAAAGACAGGATTTCGCGCACATTTTGAGATACCACTGAATTGGCCGATCGCAATCCTTCGCTCGCCAAGGAGTACCCCATCAAGGGGCTTCTACCCAGACGCATATAATGTCCGTTATTATGTATGCGGTGATGTCAAGCGTCAAAGAGGGCACCCATAAATGGACACACGGGATCACCGTTGAATTACTCCTTGATTTTCAATGTTCAACCCCAATCTCAGGGGGGCACCCTGCACTGGCTCTCATATCATATGTTCCTCGTTCCTCACATTCGTCCCACCTTCACCCACACCCTGTCCAAGTACAAGCCATGTTTATCTGCCTCGCTTACCCATACCCATCACGACCACGTAAGAGCGTGGGCAAAGCTGGACGACCCGACGTTGACCTGGCCCGGCCAAGCTATGGCTCTCAACCCCTCTCAATACCCCTCGCACCCACACGCCGATGTTACCGAAATACCATACGGATACACTCAACGTGGTCAGTGCCCCTTCAGGCCTTCTCACACCCCAATGCATTCACTGTAGCCCTTCGATATCCTCATAGCTGTGGCACCCACCACACTCCACGAACTTACGGCCAGGAGAGCACAGTAACATTTGTGCTATGGACTGATGCTCTACACCTCAGTTTCATGTCATAAAAAGCTGAGGTGAGTAGATAGCATACTCTTTCCGCGCCTATCATTTACATTCGTTTCCGCCGTTTATCATCTTTCAGGTATATTTAATACAACCTACGTGTCATCAAGACCCACATCAACCCATGCTTAACATGATCAATCAGTGCTCAGCCCCAGGTGGCTGATTATCCACCCACCATCATTGAACTCGCCGAAAACTGATAGGGGGCCTGGAATGCCCGAGCATGTGCGTGTTCTATTGATAAGACCACCAGCACTGTACCCCCTCAACCATAGGTTCGCGGGGGTATGACCGATGATATATCGGTTCGTGGGGTTTCAAGCTCGAGGACGCTGATGATGGATGACCAATAAGAGCCGACAATCACTGACAACCGCCTCCGAAGTTCGGCTTGCAGTGAACAAATAGCCCTTAACACTACTGATCTTCCCTCAAGATTGATATCGCTTCGAGAAAGAAGTATTGAGATGAGGCTATGGGTAGCCCAGGCTGTGTAGTCACATGCGCATTGTGTCTATGTCCCTAGAAGTGGTAAAGCGAGCATAGGTATATGTACTACTTATGCTCATCTATAGTGATTGATATGATCATGAAGAATTTCCGTGAAGCAATATAAGTGAGCAATCAAACTTGGGATAATCAATATTTTCCTCGCTTTCAAATGGCCGACTCGTTACCTCAACTGCCCCCGAATATCTCTAGAATGTGAGCATAACTTTTTGATTAATAGTTAATAGTATCTGAAGATGATGATACTATATGAAGAACCGGGGGTCCGGTGAGTTATCCACTCGACTTCACAGTCACTGCCAAAGACATTTACACCACAATCAGTTCCTTGGAATATTTCTCAATGGTTATTTCTTTGGATTGCTGACGTTGCAATACTGTACGGTTGAAACAAACATACTTTCTATTGCCCATTGACACTGACTGATTGGCGGGTCTCAAGATCACTATAACATTAATTTCTCTAATGACTTGAGGTGGCTAAGGAATATCGGTGGGTCTCAGCGTTCGGTGCTTAGGATGTTCATGTACTAGCGGGCATCCAATCACAAGTGCACCTACAGTTTTTCTTGGAAACAGTGCAAACGGTGATGTCGGCAGCGGATGGGTTCCACTGGTTTGTCTTCGGATATGGGGACACTCGAAAATTAGGCGAATATTTTCTTGCCAATTTCGATGCACCGATGATGTACTCGATTATCGCGCTTATTTCGCAGGGGGTTTATTGTTGGAGGATATATCATTTGAGTGGGTGGAAGGTACCAACACTGATTATCGCTCTTGTAAGTCTTAAATGATAGGTTTGACAATATGAAACAGCTAATATCAATACATTTAATGACAGACTGCCTGCACTCAGGCTGCGGGGGGGATTGGGGTTGGGATTATTGTAAGAGGACACTCGGGATCTGGACCTATACTGATCACGAAATAACTAGAACCAACAACTTGGGACCATTGAGAACTGGCGTCCGAAATCCAACGTCTTTATGATTGTGAGTGTTTTCTCATATTTAGAAATAAGTAGGACTAACCTACATACTTGTAGTTGTGGTTGGTATGCAGTGCGATAGCAGACACCCTCATTGCCTGCTTAATGACTTATCTTGTGTGCACTATTCAACGTGATCCTGGTATTTGACTGATATTCGAGCACAGCTCCTTTCATCGAAATCCCTTACTTCTGGTAGTAAAAGACCAGCGGTGGTGACGCGATTAATCAGGCTCATTATCGAAACAAATGTAGCTAGTGGTGAGCCAATATTGTCGTTTTTTCTTTGATTTCGGCTCAATTGTTAACGAACTGGAAGCCCTCGTTGCGATGGCGGTCCTGTTGTGTGCGGTCATTCCACCCATCGCACCTCCAGTAAGCTTCCAGTGACTGTACTACATAAACCTCCCTGATGCATTTATTTTAGAAAACAAGTTTCTTTATGTGTCCGTAAGTCGAACTCGCGCAGGATTTGCCTGGCTGTTAGCGCCCTCACAATCTTCTGCAGAGGCTATGTTCTAGGAAAATTGTGAGTGAAAGCACTATTGATTTTCTATAAGGTTAAGCTGCTCATATTTTCCATAGATATAGTAACTCATTCATCGCCATGCTAAACAATCGGTCCCGACAGGCGGCTGGTTCAGGAGCATCGGGTGCATTGAATAACAGTATCAACGGCGAGAGTATTTTGATGCACCAGCAACCCAGCTGGGGTACGCCCTCTAGCCAATCCAAGCATGCCAACACGCCCAGTGTCATTATCGATGTCCACATGGAAACCGCAGTACGGTTTGATGACTGGGAGCGACCACTCCCCCAACATTGAGCACGGTTCTGGTCTTGGAAGATTCTGTGCTTCTGGACATGTCACGATCAAGAAATGTGGTATAATACTTTTTTGGTCTTTTTAATACACGAAATGATATGTGGGATTAAAGCCGTGATGATGATTCTCTGTGCTTGTGAGTCAATGTTCCTCAGAGACATCAAAGTGGAATATTTAGAGTGTGATTTTTGTTTTGAGGACATGGAGGCGCACGCCCCGCAGACATTCCAGTGGGGGGTGTGACGTTGCCACAGTCCCAAGGGACGAAATTCACCGCAAAGCTTCTTAAAACAGGTATTCGTGTTGACTCCATTAGCCTGCAGAATAAAGCCAAACTCTGAGCATCTGGTGAAGGGATATGAATTGGAAAGACAGTGATCCCCTTTGGTAGACACGACCGGAATCGAATCGGTCGCCTTCTACAATTGCTACGAATGAACACATCGTCTATGTTGGCGTATGCAAAGCGGGTGTGATAACCAACTACACCATGTGTCCATTGATTCCCCCGGGCCTCCTATCTTCTGCGGCGCGTCTCACAAATAAAAACAGCCAAATGTTCGCCCCCCAGCGGAAGTGCCCACCACTGTAACGCCGGTATTTGGCTAGCAACGAATAGGGGGGTGTAGAGACGCCCGGTCGGCTACCTATGAAAACTAGGCGCCAACCGGCGTTCTCTAGTAGTCTGACAAACCAGACACCTCACCCTCATTCGCCCACCCGTTTCCCTCCGCA